GGGACCAGCCAATGACAGGGATGGCTAGCACACAGTTCACTGATGGCAGCAGTTTCATAAAGGTTGGTGTTAGGAGGGCAGGTTATGTCATAGTCAACTCTACCAAGGTCATTGAAGCAAGAGGATTTCCCCCTAGGGCTTCTGCCCAAAAGACAGAACTTATTGCCTTCACTTGGACTCTTCAACTTGCCCAGGGAAAAAGGATATATATAGACTCCAAATAGGCCTTTCTCATCCTATATGTGCATACAGCCATCTGGAAAGAAAGGACTTTTGACTAGTTGCCAGTCTCCAATAAAATACAGATCAGAAATCCTCAACCTTCTTGAGCAGTATATCTCCCAAGTGAGATAGCAGTTATCTATTGCTGGGGACATCAAGCCTCCTTGGATCCTGTCTCCAGGATAATTTTAAAGCAGATTCCACTGCCAAACAGACTGCTCTCTAAATATAATTCCAGCCAATCAATCCTCTCCCCATTATCCCATTCCAGGATCTTGGCTTACAGACAGAATATTCCACAATAGAGCTTCAAATAATCCGTAATGAGGGAAGAGTTCAAAAGGCCCAATGGTGGTGTGGGACCCTGACTGTTCTTGCCACAATGAGTGCAGGGGAAAGTCATTAAGTTTCCACATGATGGTTTCTACTTAGGGTGAGAAGCCATCAACACGATGCCAATAGTAGACCAGGTATGTAAGACATGTCCTGTCTGTGCCCTCTATAATCCGTAGACTTGTCCTCTCCCATTGCTTGAACTCATACAAAGGTGTGGGTCCTCCCCTAGAGAAGACTGGCAAATAGACTTCACCCACATGACTAAGTGTAAGGGGCACATACACCTCTTGGTGTGCATTACTATCTTTACTAGGTGGATAGAGGCCTTCCCTCACAGGTCAGAGCAGGCCTTTGAGGTCTTCCTTAAAGAAGTGATCCTTAGGTTTGGATTGTCCAGGTCTATCCAGAGTGATAATGGACCCTTTTTTATATCCCAAATTTTGCAGGGAGTTGCCAAAGCACTGGGAATTAAGTACCATCTCCACACTGTGGGGAGACCCTAGTCATCAGGAAAAGTTGAGCCAATCAGCTCTCAATCAAACCTTAGCCAAGCTGTGTCAAGAAACCCGCCCTAAATGGCTAGATTTCTTTCCATTTGCGTTAATGAGGCTTTGTGCCACATAAACTATGTAAACACATGGGAATTAAAACTTTCTTGAATAATCAATGGGTCACAAATGAAATTAAAGAAATTAGACAATCTACAATCATTGATAATACCAGTACAACATACTGGAATGTACGGGACACAATGAAAGCTACCCTAAGAGAGAAGTTCATAGCAGTGAATTCCTACATCAGAAAAACAGAATAACCTAATGATGTACCTCATGGTCATAGAAAAAACAAAAATAATTCAAATCCAAAGCTAACGCAAGGAAAGAAATTATAAAGATCACAACAGAAATTAATGAAATTGAATCTAAAAAAAAATCAAAGAATCAATGAATCAAATTGGTGAAAGACTGAACAAATTAGACAAACCTTTAGCTAATCTTACCCAAATAAGAAAAGACCTAAATCCATGTAATTATAAATGAAAAAGGTGAAATCACAATGGATTCTGCTGAAATACAGATTATCAGTAGCTACTTTGAGAATCTGTACTCTAAAAAAGTGGATAATTGGGCTGGGGATTTAGCTCAGTGGTTTCACTGCCTGCCTTGCAAGCACAAGGTCCTGATACCCAGTACCAAAAAAAAAAAAAGGATAATTCAGAGGAAATGGATAAGCTTTTAGGTCCATGTGAACCACCAAAAGCTGAACCGAGAAGATACAAAAATCCTGAATAAGCCAATATCAGCCAATGAAATTGAAGAAGTAATAAAAAAAGGCTATCAACTAAGAAAAGCCTGGATTCACTGCCAAATTCTACAGGAACTTTAGAGAAGATCTAATGCCAATACTCCTCAAACTCTTTAATGAAATCTAAAGGGAAGTAGTACTCCCAAGGTCATTCCTGGTTATTCCAAGCATAACCCTGACTCCAAAACCAGAAAAAGACCCAACCAAAAAAAGAGAACTACCGGCCAATCTCTTTAATGAACACAGATGCAAAAATCCTCAGTAAGATACTGGCAAACACAATGCAGCAAATCATCAAAAGGATCACACATCATATCCAAGTAGGATTCATTCCAAAATGCATGGATGGTTTAACATATGCAAATAAATAAATGTAATACACCACATAAACAGAAGCAAGGACAAAAACCAGTATGTTGTAGTTGGGGTTTTGCAAGGGAATAGATTTAATACAGGACACAATTTATAGGATTATACTTACCCAAAAAATCAAGGGCAGAGGAGTGCAAGAGATCTAACTGCACACTAAAGACCCAAAGAATCCAGCCAAGGGCCTGGGACCCACAGCAGTGTCCTGCACAAGTCCAGCTGCAGGCCTAGAATCCAAGGCAAAGTCTTCCATGATTCCAGCCAGTGGCCTAGTCTATGGCAATATCTCATGTTTGTCCATACCGAGGATGTGCACTGGGAAGGCCAAAAGGCCAGTGCTGGAAGCTAGAAAACGTATCCCAGTGGTATAAAGAATTTGTGCCAGCAAGCCTAGGGGTCTACACTGGAGCCAGAAAGTGATGCTCATGGTGAAGATCAGAGCTCCCTTGATTAGCACAGCAAGGACTTCTGCATTGGAAATCTGAGGAGCAGGAAGTACTAGTTTGCTTCTCTTGACAGTCAATGCAGAAACACCCAGTTTGGGGAAAAGCTGATGGTAAATCAGATGCCCCTTTGGATTTCAAATGCTGTTTGTCCTTTTTTCTCTCTCTTCCTTTTTCTCTCTCTTCATGGAGGTCCTGCTGTGTTAATTTCCTGAAATCTGCATCTGGGGCCTAGTAGTTTTCCTCAGAAGAGTCATAAAAGCCAGGGGCAGGCTTTTTTTTCCAATGGGATTTCAGCATTACAATCAAGTCTGCTCTTCTTTTTCCTTGTCTTGAATTTCTTTGCCAGCTGCTCCAAGCTCTCTTTGTTTCTGGATGGTGGCAAGATGCCTCACCTCTTCCAACTGTTTCTCTCTTGCTTTCCTCTTGGCCTTCTTGCCCTGGGTATTAGCCAAGTGGGCTGTAGCTTCAGAAAGCATTTGAAGTTGCTCTTGGTGAATATCGATTGGATAAGGCCATGTTGGTTTTGTCTCTGAATTAGGTGCTATTTCTCCAGGTTGAAGTCTGCATGGATCATCTGTGCTTTCTTCTTGCCTCTCCGGGCAGTTTTGTCCAGGAGAAAGTCATAGTGCACCAAGCACTGGGCTGCTGTTCTTCCGCCGACTGGAGCAATGGTCTTCCACTGAGTTGGCATCTACTTGGCCAGGTGCAAGAGTTTTTCCTCCTCTTCTCTGAACCATTCTGTCTTCTTAATGCTTGGATACAGCCACTCATACCATCTGGCTTTGCACTGCTTTGCTGATTTCCTAGGCAGCATTGAGGCAATCCCGGAGCACTGTTTTGTCCTATAATTCATGATCGCTGCTTTCACAATTTTATCCTCGATATTCCTCCAAATACCCGCTTTGATCATCATTCAAGGCATCCTGGTGGCGGAGTGTCCGGGCAAGGGGCAGAGAAGAGCTGGCGAAAAGCAGTACGAGTGCTTAGGTCATGGGACAGGGCACAGAGGCAGGTACTTCCTCCAGGCTCAGCCTTCTGCTTTGAAGAGATCTCCGCAGGCAAAACCGGGAGGGAGGAGACTAGAAAATCTCCAGAGATCTTGGTGGCCTAAATTAGGTAAGCGTCAAAGGCCACCTCTAGGGTGGGATGAGGAAGAGTCCAGAGAGTCTGTCTGCACACAGGAGAGACCGAAGGATTTAGTCCAAGGTGTGGAGCTCACTGCAGTGTTCCTTGGGGTCGGTATCAGGGAGCCGATGGGTCTGTGACAGAAGACTGAGGAGTACCCCAGAAGGCCGAAAGATCCGCACCAGAAGCAGAAGAGTGTGCTGGAAGCCAGGAGATGACGTCCAAGAGGAAGATGGGAGCTCCTCCAAAGGAACAGAAGTGGCTGTGTCCTTCCTCATTTCTCCTTTATACCATCCAGGTGAGGAGCAGCCCTAGGGTGGATCTCCCATGCCCTAGGCCATGGAATTGCTAAGCCGACTTAGCGAGGCTTTTCTTAACCAAACTTCTCAAGTTGACACAATCAATCAACCATCACAATCCACCCCTAAGGAGAACAGCAGCCTTACCCAGCGATAGCAAAGACCCGAGCTCCTCCAACAACAGGAACAGCCAAGTTCACGTCAGGAAAACCAGCCGCAGCAAGCTTCTCCTACCAAATCAACCGCCCAGGATCTTTCCTTCCAGTTCTCCTTTTATGCAGTTGGCAACAATCCTCAGCTGGGTCTTCCATGCCCAGACCAGGATGATTCAATTCAGCTGGGTGTTACAAGTTGCCCATTCATTAATCCACCACAATGCAGAAAAAGCATTTGACAACATTAATACATTTATCTTTGAAACTATACTGAACACACTGCCATCTTTCTTGGATCCTGTAAGTAGGTAATTTTGAATCTTTTAGCCTGAGAATTGATTCAGAGCATATTGTTAAGTTGCAGATATTTAGAAAGATGGTTAACAGTTGCCTGTGAAAATTCAAGGAACTCTGTTGTTTTGTGCTCACAAAGTGGAATTTACAACTGCACACAATCCCCATTGGCTCCCTACCCCCTAGGATGGCTCTGGGAAACTAAGGCCACCGAAGATGAGCAAGTAGCAGCCCACTTTTCCTATGCCGGTCAAGGAGTGGTCTTACTGGACTGGAGGACTCGCTCAATCAACACGCGCTTCGTGTCCACGCGGCTGCCAGACTGTGGCTGTGTCTCCCAGGTGCCAAAGGGATTCGGAAGATACAGCTCTAGGGCAGAGAGAGCCAAGATTCTGATGATTCTGCCGTGTCAAATAAGTGGGACCTCCCGCCACAGGCGTCGCTGTGAGCTCGCGCGCTGCCCCGGGAGCCGCGTTCCGCCGGGAGCAGGCGCTCACGCCTAGCAGGGGTTTCAGTTTCTGGCGCGAACTTCCGCCGTTCCGAAGTTGCACCGCAAATTGGCGCTATGTCGGGGGATAGTAGCGGCCACCGGCCGGAGGGCCGGGGCCGGGGTCGCGACCCGCACCAGGACCGCACCCGCTCTCGCTCTCGATCTCGTTCCCCGCTGTCCCGCCGGGGCGCCAAGGAACGCAGTGAGGCCCCAGAGGGCCCGAGCTTGGAGGAGGGAGACCCGTCGGATTCTGGGGACGAGATGCTGGACCCGGCCACCCTGGAGGCCGAGACGGACCTTGGCCTGTGCCGCCAGATTCGCCATCAGTACCGCGCCCTCATCAACTCGGTCCAACGTAAGGCTGTGCCTCTGGGCGGCGGACGGGGAGGGGCTGCAGGCAGGTGCGGGCGCAGGCCTGGGAGAGGCGCGGGGTCGCGCGGGCGAGCCTTCGTTTCTTTACCGAGTGCTCCCACGCCAGTCTCGTCGCCAGACCTTTGAGACCTTGGCGAGGAGCGCGCAGATCCCGATGGGCGGGCTGGGAAAGCTGGGGGCCAGACCCAGTCATTCCCTCGCCCGAGCTCAGCCAGTGTGGGAGAGCATGACGCGGACCCTGGCTCCTTTTTATTGCATTCAGCTCTGTCTGGGCTCCAGGGGCCCAGCGGTGACAGCATCCCCTGAGGACTGTCAGAAATGCACAGTCTCCCACCTCACCGGACCCACCGAACCTGGGGATGGGGACGTCTGTTGCTTGGCCCTGTACGTGATCCTGTTGGTTGCAAAGTTTAAGAACCGCCCAGTTATCGTACCCTCCTCTAAGACTGCAGAGGAGTCAGCCTTTTGGGTTAAGGTTAAAAGGAGCCAGGGGTTCCTTTTAAATTTCAAGCTGTTTAAAGTGTACACTTTTCTTTCGCTTTCCGTGCCATGTTAGTTTAAATAGTGAAGGTGTTTGAAGTCATTACCCACGGGGCAGAGATGGGGCTTGGCTTTACTACCACAGGTGATAACTGTCAACTAATTAATGATTGATGAGCACGTTTCCAAAGGCTTTTTTTTTTGTAATAGAAAACCGGGAGGATATACTTAATGCCAGCGACAAGTTAACAGAGGTCCTTGAAGAGGCGAACACGCTATTTAATGGAGGTAATTGATTATTTTATGTTAGATGATCACTTATTTTTATATGAGTTAAATTATTGACATTGCACAATACTCACATTTATTGTAATGCTTTGCCAGGTTTGGAACCTTTATGCTCTCGGTTTGGAACCTTTTTCATGATAGCAACAATACTACTTTTGTTATACACTTACAATGTGCTAAACATATACTTAAGGACTCTGCATGAAATTATGGAATGAGGCCCACAATTTGTATTAACAAGCCTCCCCCATGTTGCCTGTTCATACTTGAGAGATTTATATGTGTAAATTCCATTTTTCGAATGGATGAATGGAAAAAAAAACTGAGGTAGCCTCTGACTCCAGTTTTTCTTTCTTCCTCCCAGTCCCCTCCCTCAGTTGTTGGTCTGCCTGTATACCCTAATGGAGGTGGCCATGTCCACACGTGTACCTGTTGGTCTCCAAGGGAAGGGAGGGAGAGAGCTGAGACTGCTGAACTCTGGTCCATAGGGGCTTTAAAAAATAATCTGAGTTTGAATTAAAAAGCAGTCGCAGTGGTGGAGGTCTGTGTTCAGTGACAGGGTAGGTCCAGGTACTCCTTGGTGTGGTTGCTGGGTTAGAGAGCCCTAGGACAACTACCCAGACACTGTCCCCTCCAGGCCTTTCTTGCAACTCTGTGGGAACAGAAGGGGAGAATGCAGACAAATATCTTGCTAAAAAGAGTCACAGAATTGGTTATGTCCTGACACCGTAATTCCTATTCTTCCAGGACCAAAATATTTATTTCTAGTCATTTTGTAATATGGCTAGTGGTTTCGGTGTTGTCATCTTTTTAACACTTTCTAGTCCATAATCTCTTGAATTTGTGCCTTTCTTGTGCTGATCATGGCCTCCTTATCATTCCCTTATGTGTTCTACCACATTTGCTAAATCTCATCAGAATCTTCTGGGACCAAGTCTTCCTCTTTGACCTGGACAAATCTTTCCCCTAATCTGCATTTTATTCCCTCCACAGCTTGAACCCACAGTCCCCTCTTTTTTTTCTTTTGGTACTGGGGATCGAACTCAGGACCTTCTGATTTCGAGGCAGGTGGGGGAACCACTGAGCTAAATCCCTGGGCCCCCCCTCACTCTTATTCTTAACTCATTTACTTCCTTGATATTTATTGTACATCTTAATAGATCTTTATGCATATGCCATTAGCTCCCCTCAATTGTCGCCAGTGGTTAAAACAAGAATTTAAGAGCACCCGGAAGGAAGCTCCCCCACCGCCATCCCACACTCCTAGGGCAGAGAAGGTGAGCTGGTCCCAACACCTGGAAGGAAGCTCCCCCACCGCCATCGCATGCTCCTAGGGCAGAGAAGGTGAGCCACGCAGGCACCAGAAGCGCAAAGCAGCCCCCACCCCCCACCCCTCCAGTGGAAATAAGAAGACGCATAAACAAGCCTCAAAAACAGACTTCCGGATCACCTGCAGCAACCCCAAAGGGAAACAAGATGGAATACTCTGATACTCAACCACCTGGACTCTCTGAACTGGCAAAAAAGAGGATCTGGGAAAAATGAAATCAGAAATAATTACTCAGATAACAGCAAAGATTGTGCTCATGGTGGAAAACATGATTAATTAATCCAGAGAGGACACAGATAAAAAAATAGAGGATCTGAGGAACATGATGGGATCCCAACATAGGAAACAAATGGAATCCATAAAACAGATACAAACAGGTTTCCAGGAGATTAAAAACTCCATCAAAAGTCTGCACAGCAGAATGAACCAATGTGAGGATAGAATTTCAGATATAGAAAATAAGATTGCAATTAGTGACCAGGAAAAGAAAAACTGCTTTAAAATTGTAAGGGAACATGAGAAATCAATCCAGCAGCTGCTAGACGATGCAAAG